GTGGGTGTGAAATCTTTGGGCTACTATGCCATTCTCCTTTAAGAACCTTGCAAAAGGTCCATGAACTTAGCCATATGGGGTATGCCGACCGTAGTACTCTCCCCCACAGTCAGACCTAACTATCTTAATCTTTAAATCATGCTGATTTTCAACTTCTGCTTTAAATATTTTGAATTTATCCAACGCTTCTGTTCTTTCTTTAATTGGATAAATGTAGCCAAACCGAGAGTAATCGTCTGTGAATGTTATGAATGAATCATAACCATCCACACTTTTCACAGGAAAAGGACCATATATATCTGTGTGAATAATCTATATAATTTCTACGCTTCGTTTGACATCTTTCTTAATTTTCTTTACATACTTTCCTTTTATGCAATCTCTACATTATTCTAAATCTGAGAGCTCTAATGGAGGAAGAATATCATTCTTAACTAGTCTTTCTATTCTCCCCCTCGAAATATGGCCTAAACGACAGTGCCATAATTTCGACAACGCATCGTGAGCTCTCTTTCATTTTCTGTTTGCATTGTTCGATGAGGATACATTCTCATTCACATCACATACGAAATTCACATTTTCACGAAGTGATAACAAATAAAGCTCGTCTTGTCGGAAGGCAAGACCAATACATCTATTATTAAACAATATCTGACATTTGCCATTTCCAAAATGACAATCATAACCATCATGGTCCAACTTTGATACACTAATCAAGTTTCTTTGCAAAGAAGGTACATAAAGAACATCTCTAAGAAAAAGTATGAAGCCATCAGCAAGCTCTAGCGGAAGATCGCCAACGGCCTCAACATCTGCTTGTACTCCATTTGTGACTTTAATGAAACTTTAAGCTTCTTTGCAAAGTTCTCATCGAATCGAAATCCTCAGTAATGAATTAGCAACATGAATAGTTGCTTTTTGAATCAATCCACCAAGTAGATTTTAAAAACTTGACATACAAGGATTCATTTCTGAACGTAATAATGTTCTCACCTTTATTTTTCATAATCATCTTTAAGAAATCGGGACAATTCTTCTTATAATGTCCCGTCTTCTTCTGAGAGAGACAACTCGGTCTTTATCCACTTTGGGAATTGCTTGTTACGAGAGGCTGTTGCATGGGACCCTTTCCGGATGACTTGGAGGAAGAGCTGTTATTATAGTTCTTTTTCTTATCTTTTAGGTAGTTGATAGTACCACCCTGTGAAACTTTTATTCTTTCCTCCTCCTGCACACACATGGCTATGAGCTTTTCTAAATCCCATTTTTAGGCTGTATGTTGTAATTAACAACAAAGGTGTCAAATTCTTTAGGTAAAGAAGCAAAAATCAAATGAATAAGAAACTCATTCTTGAGTGCCAAATCCATTGGTTTGAGCTTAGATGCCAAATTGCTCATTCTCAGTATGTGCTCTCTAATGTCACTGCCGCCACCAGAGTACCTTTCTGTAACCAGCCGCTTGATCAGCTGGGTTGCATATGTCTTTGAAGAGCCAGTGAACTGACTCTTTATTCTTTCTAGGTACTCTATCACTGTGTCACAGTCTGGAATTGAGCCCACTATTGCAGGCTCAATTGTATTCTTTATCACAGCCAAACATTTCTTATTGGCTGTGACCCACTTTCTATATTCAAGGTCAAAAGACATCTTTACGGGAGCAAAGTCCCGCTCTCTGTTCTGCCATGCAGCATCAGTCTCATCTGTCTCCCTCACCGGTGCCACAGGTTCTTTGTGACACGGTGTGGTGACTACCCAGTCCACCTCAGCCAATATGAAGGCCAAGTCGATCTTTTTCTTCCATTCAATGTAGTTATCCCCTTTTAGAGTGGGGATCTCTTTGATACAACTCATCAAGTTGTATCCGCCTGAAAACACAATTCAAATAGTATGAGAACACAAATAATAACAACAACAATTACATGCCTTAGTTCAATGTTGGTCAAAATTAAAACATACAATTGTTCTCTACACTAATTCTACATCATCGTTGGGTGGAAATAGAATTAATGCAAGACAAAAAAACATTATAATATTGCCATTAATCAACGTTGGTCAGAATAATAACAATATTATAATCAATTAAAACATATCCATTTTCAAAATTAAATTCTTCCGTTGGTTCGAATTTAATAATGAAAATTGCATCTTTAAATACGCAGCGGAAACATTAACATTCAATAATCATTTTTCCAGAAACATAAAGGTACTGTTTTTTTCTCTATGCAAATTTGTCGTTGGATCAAAATTTGCACAGAATTTGACATCAAAATCAATTCAAATTCATCAAATATGAAGTAAACAGTTTCTGGAAAAAACAAATAAACAGTTCCCGAGCCCAACGGGTGAGCGCGCCGCCGTCGAGTGGCTTGACCGCGGCGCCGTTGTGGCCTGTTCCGGCAAGGAGTGCCCCGAGCCGGCCTTTCTCTTCCCCGCGCGCCGGCGTGACTGCAGTGCCGTGCAACGGCGAGGTAGGCCACCCCCTTCCCTTTCTTCCCCTTTCTTTTGATTCGTTTGTTCGGATTTCATCCGATTTCCCGATTAGGGTTAGAGTTAGGGTTTGGGATGGCCACTGTTGTCTTTTCCCGAATTGATTTCTTGACGGGTTTGAAGTTCGGTTTCCAGTTGAAACCATGTTATCATCTCTGTCCCAAAACCCGATCTAAGGTTTGGTTGTATCTTTTCTTTTCTTTTCCCGAACCCGATCTAGAGTTAGGGTTAGGTTTTCTTTCATCCTTTCTCAGATCCGAAGGGATCGAGATTAGGGTTCAACCGAACCCTTTGTCAGCCGAAGCCCCTTTCTACATTCTAGATCCGCACTGGATTTCTATTTCTTAAGCCAGATCTATACCTAAACCGTGGCTCCGGTACCAATGTTTAAAACCATAGAATCGATCTAGAGTAGAACCGAGGGACTTCTAAGTAACCAGTTAATCTAGATAAGCCCTAGTACATCTAGACCGAGAGATGGAGACAGAGAGATAGAGAGATAGGGGTTGAACACGAGACCATGAGGTGGAAGATCCATGGGCTCCATCAGTTTGTTGGTGTAGGCCGCATACTGCAGCAAATGACGGTCGGGGAAGATGGCGGTGCCGGCGGTGCGGTGGAGTGCAGTGAGGCCGACGGTGATGACGGTGGCGTCTTCCCGTCGCTGGCTGCGCACCCTCTTTGAGATCGGACTTAGGGTTTGTTGGTGGGGTGGATTGGCTCATGGTGAACCTCGTACCTCGAGCCGTCGGCCCCACCACTTTATATAGCGCAGTGCGACGGGGGCCCACCAACCATATAGGGTTGGACGCCCCCGATCAGGACGCGTGACCAAGGCCCAATAAACCGTTGGACTTATTGGCTGGGAGATCAATCAACAGGTCCCGGTCCTAGCACGTCTCGCTTCGCCATTTCCGGAACAATGTGAGCCGCCGGCCGAAACGTGGATCCGTTTTGTGGTATCGTCTACGTACTCCCATCTCGCACGTTTCGTTGCGCATTTTGATGCGTTACTACGTACTGTCGCTCTGCGGCTTTGGTCGCCTGCTGGCTGCTGGCAGCTCTGCATCTGCTGGTGCTGCACCACATCCTCGTTTATCATCGGCAGAGCATGGTGTCGCTTTACAACAATTTGGCACATGAAGCACTATGCAGAGCGTGCTGTTTTGTGCTTGAAAATCCCGCACGATATAGGAAGTGTTTCCCATGCAATTAGCGCATGGGCCACGGCATGTCACGTTTTTTTTTTGGCTTATGATCCAGATTTTAACGGTAGGCAGTACACAGTACTATAATTACATCTCCAAATCACGTACCGTGTCACTTCGCAGATATAGTACTAGTTTTTTTTAAGTACTTGAAATTTGGAAACTTGACCGTGTCAAACGCTACCTTATAAAACCCACCGCTTAAGCGCACTGTGCGTACGGACACGCGCTATCCTCTCCTGAGTCCAGAGTCTCGTGAGTGAGAAAAGAAAGACAAAAGACGCGGAACAAACAAAACAAAACAGAGGCGCGCGGGCGCGGCGATCAGTCCGTCTTCTCTGATGCTCTCTCTCCTCCATCCATGTGCCAGGTCAGTGAGCGGGCCCCGCGACAGCGACGCCCTGCATTCCAATCCACCACCACTCCCCTAGTCCCCTGGCGCTGGGCCGCGCGGACGCCGGACGGGACGGAACCGTACGATCGGACTACGGAAGCGGCCGGGCCGGGCACCGGTCGCGGTCCCAGCCCGAGCACCGGGTCCGACGTCCAACGTAATGTGTTATATGTTAATTGTTTGTAAAAGTCATGTAAAGTTTGGTAGAGAATCATCATCACGGACTAATAAGCTGGTTAAAGACTCTTATGGTGAAACTTGTTTGTTTGAGTTAAAGATTGTTTGTAAAGCCAAATAAAGTTTGGTAGTGAATCACGGACTAATAAGCTGGTTAAAGTCTCTTATGGTGAAACTTGTTTACTCTAAATTGGGTCTCTGACTTTTTTACAAGGATAGGAAAAAAAATGGACCACTGTTTCTCCTAATATTAAGCTTAAGGTTAGGCGACATGTTCCTGAACACTATAAGATAAATGTGCGTTTCAAAAAGAAATACTTTGTGTACGATCAAGTGTCCCCCGAGCCTAGAAGTATTTTAGTAGGGTAGTATCAAGTGCCCACAAAGCCAGCCCACCCTGAGGAAAGGATTTGCAACCGGCAAATAGGGATAAAAATAATCCCAGAAAGAAAAAAGACCTTGGCAAGCAACTCAATAACTCCCGTCTGCTCCTCCCCGGTCCGTTATATAAAAGGAGACAGGGAGCCACATGGCCACCACCCCAACCCCAGTACAAACGCATTGCAGCGTGCTGCCTGCCTGCTCTGCTGTGCGCCGTGCCGCGCTGCGCTGTGTGTGGTGTCCTCCTCTCAGCTGCTCCAAGCGCCGCCGTCCCTCACCTCACGGACCTCCACCTCACCTCCGGCCGCCGCCTCAAGGTCCCGCAGTCTTCCCGGCTCCCTCCGGCCTCCAGCATGAAGCGCCTGCTCCGGCGTCTCTCCCGCGTGGCCGCGGCCGACGCCTGCGCCGCCGCCGCGTACCACCCGCTCCGGCCGGACGCCGCGGCGTCCGCGTCCGCGTCCGCGTCCGCGTCCGCCAAGGCCTCCGCGCTCTCGTGCGCGCGGCGGCTGGGCGGCGGCGCGCGCGTGCCGGAGGGCCACGTGCCCGTCTGCGTCGGCGAGGAAGGCGGGCCCGTGGAGCGCTACGCCGTGCGCGCCGAGCTCCTCGGCCGCCCGGCCTTCGCCACGCTGCTCCGACGCGCCGCGCAGGAGTACGGGTACGGCCACCCCGGCGCGCTCCGCATCCCCTGCCCCGTCGCCGACTTCCGCGACCTCCTCCTCCAGCTCTCCTCCGCCTCCGCCTCCGCTTGCGCCGCCGCGGACCACCCCGACGACGACGCGGCGCTCTGCTACTACCACTAGGCTTCGGATTCGGCTAGGGCATCCCCCACCTCCGCCGCCACCGCTCTCCTCCCCGTCGCCGCATTTGCCGTGGAGGGCGTAATTGAGATTTGCCCTTGCCCCCTCGGTGAAAACTGAAAACGGCAGCGCCAAGTGCTGCTTGTCTTCTTCTTACTGAATTACCCCTGCGTGGGACGCCTGTGCTTGTACATACGGGAGGGTTCAGACTTCAGAGTTAACTGTGGTGGATCCTTTGGATGGGGGTACAACGGGGATTTTCTCCTGCAGCTCAACAGTTTTAGTACCTGCTGGGCCTGTTGTTGACTGGATGGTGTTGTCTTTGGTTTGGATTGGTATTTGGTCTTTGCTTTTTTTAAAAAAAAACCGCTATTAATTACTTGATTTGAAACCGATTGAAATCAACAAGCGAACAAGCTCGCTGTCCGGTAGGAATTTTCTATTCTTTCTTTTTTTTTGGTTGCTCCTCCCGTGTTTTTGGGTCTTCTTCGCGTAGATCTAGCTCTGGCAGTCTTGTTCTAGCTCTAGCGGTGGGTGTAATGGAGTAGTAGTGACTGAGCACTACCTGCCTTTTTGGCCCCGTTGGTTTCGCGGAAAAGAAAGTCGAAATTCCCCTGTTGTCTACATTTTTTATGAAAAAAATGATTTGATTCCTGTGAAGTGAAATCCTCAAAGGACCTGCGAGATGGAAGCTCGGAAGAGCTACTACAACTTGACAAGTGGAAGGACTTTGCTGCGCGATTATTTTCAATGGTCTCCATCTTGTCAAGTTGAAATTGCCTTGGCGATGCCCGTACCTAGTCGTTTTGTACTACTGTACTACGAGTCTACGACTTTCTTAAACCGTCTCTGGCGTGAAAGAATTTACTGATTGAAAACGATTCAGTGAAATGCGAATGCCTTTGCAGGATATACTTTCCCCAGCCGAAAACAGCACTGATTTTTTTGTTCTAAAACACTATCTGTTCCTCTCTTTCTTTTCAGGCCCGCTGAATCTCACTATCAAATCTTTTCCCATTTGCTCCATTAGCTACTCAAAAGGAAGAATAAAAAAGGAGAGGAGATTATGTATGTACGTAAAGCTAATAATTGACCCCCTGAAATGTACATTTGAGGGTGCAATAATGCCAGCACAAAGGGGGGAGTTTTGTGGCCCGGACGCCGCGTCGTCAAACGATATATGGGAAGCAGCGGCATGTGCAGAAATCTCTTCGGCCAGTGCGGCTGCCTGCAACTGCGCCTCACTGTGGCTGAGCTCACGGAGACGAAGACGGATGCGCGATGCCTGATGCCTTGGTTGGACAGGATTCAGATTTTTCAGAGGAGCACCGCAAAGCCTTCGTTGCGCTTCCAATCAGAGCAGCTACTAATCCTGGCATAGTGGCATTACCACTACATTCTCCTCGGAATCGGCGTGCCACAACGAAAACCAGCCGTATCTTTGCATGATGTTGAGAAAGATTAGGCGAATATATATGGCGTAGATCATTGTACATGCATAATAATGCATATATGCATGTGCTGCCTAATCTGAGCATTTGAAACCCCTGGCGGGCGAGTCGCAACGGTGATCTACCTTTTTTTTTTTGAAGGGGCAAAGGTGATCTAGCTGATAAGCTGAATGTCATGTTGCGTGTCTGGACGCGTGTGAAAGCAGCGCCCGCCGGCACTGGATAATGCATATCACACCGGAAAACCGAAACGGGGGCACGGGGGCAGAAAGGAATTATTGTATACATATAAAAAGGAATTATCTAATCTAGGCCACTGGTCCAAGAAAACAAATGGGGGGGGGGCAGAAATTCTCTGCAACGTAGCACAACTGCACACACAGCACATGCCGTGCTGAGACACGAGAGACCAGCGCGTTTCCTCCCTCGCTCGCTCTGAATTCCAGTTCAGCTACGCAAGTCAGCCGGCATCCATTCCCAGGGGCTTGAATGCAGCGTCACATGCTGACAGAGCCCTCCCAACTCCCTTTTCCTGGAGAAATCGTATCGTTCTCGTAGGAAAAACCCAGCACAGAGAAAATGTGCGCGCCGGCGATGTAGATGCCCCGAACGCCACAGAAAACGCAGCGAGATTTGGAGGTATACAATATCGAGTCTTTTTGGCACGAGCTGATGGATGGATACAGCTGGCTGGGGCGATGGATAAGGACCTGCGTCGCTCGCATGCACGCCTGGAGCTCGGAACTGAAGCCAAGCGCCTGCGAGCGAGAGCAAAAGCATGTGCAGGGAGTGAAGGCCACATCGCGGCACGCGTGTCGGGGTGCCCAAACGCTGGCCGGGAAGCAAGGGCGGGGCAGCAGCCGAGGCAGGCGCCATGCCGTGTTGCTGTCGCTGTTTGCCCGTGGACAGGTTCGCGTTGGGCGCTCGGCCCGATCGGGCTCCTGCTGGCAGGGCACGTTGCAGCCGGCGCCACCACATGGCGCTCGACATGTCGACGCGCGGTGGCCGTGGCGTGGCGTACCGGCGTCTGCCCGCAGAGCAGACCACGGATGGTGCCGTGCCCCGCTGCCGGAACTGGCTCGGGGGCGTCGTGGCACTCGAGCTGGGCGAGCGACAGGTGTGAGGCGCCACTGTTGGAGCGTGTCATGTACTCATGTGTGATGGATAGCCTTTGCCTGAATCCTGGTGCGTTGAGATTTTGCGGGTAGGATAGATGGGAGCAGACATGGCAGCGACAGTGGTGAACAGTCCCTGTTTCCTTTGAACTACTCCGGCGATACTTTTGCAGTGTTTTACTTTCACAATAAAATAAATTAGTATGCCAAGCGGCGTTCTTGGCTAGGAATAGTTTCCGCTCTATAGAAAATATTGAGGCCCTGTTCGTTTCCCGGGGAACGACGTCCTGGATCCATTCCGGCCAGGAATGCCTATTTAATTTATACTCAGCAGACTTGAGCAGGAATTATTTCGGGGAGGGAATGACTCAAACGAACGAGCCCTGAAAGAAACCGCATGGCAGGAATCGTTCTGGTCAGGATTTGTGGTAACCGAACAAGGTCTAAGTATTATCATAAGCCAAATTTAAGCAAAACGGCCCAAGTATCTGTCTGATACGGAGTAGTATTACGGCAGCGCAGCTTTTCGGAGGCAAATGCATTTGCGGTTTTGCACACGTTTTTTATGGTAACAGGTGCAAGACCAGATGGAGAGGTAGAGGCCCACACCTTTCTCGCTTTCGGGACGGACGGTGCTTTGTTGGGCCTTTGTGGCCTGTGACCAAGCAACAATGCACACACCTGCCCATGCTATTCACGAATTTATAGCCCATGGGTTATACGGATTCCTGGGCCAGCTCATCTTTCCACAGCCCAAAGACCAAACGAGCAATACAAACAGTGCCACACCACTAAGACCTGTTTCGAAATCACTAGCGGCCAGAGGTTTGGACGGATGCTCGCGTCCGAACGTGGCTCGCGCTAATAGGCGGGGACCGCGCCTCACGTGAAAGGAGACCACGTGGACCCTATGCTGCTTCCCGCCCTGATTGTCGTGCTCGCTCTGTTTCGCACGCGCACACAGGAATTGTGCCCCACTGCCCACACTGCTTCCTGCCCTGACAGCCGCGTCCGCACGCCGAAAAACCACGTGGGTCCCAGTCACCTGCCCCGCCCATGGATGCGCGCCATGGATGCGTCTGTCGACCTCCCGCCCACACGGTGACCCACGATGGCGCCGCCAGCAGCTGTTTACAACATCCAGATGAAACACTTACAATATACGTCCGAAATAGCTGAAACGCTTGCAACATATGTCTGAAACACTTACAAACACTTGAAACACGTGTGGAGCCATTGTAAACATATGCAACATCGAGGATGTACTTTTTTAACATATGAAACACTTACAACATATATACAAAAACATCTGAAACACTTGAAGCATACGCTTTCAACATGCATGTATATACAACATCTAGATCTAATTTTGCAACATCCAAATAAAAATAATTGAAACGTACATCTGAAACACCTAAAACACTTAAAACATATGCTTACAACATGCGATTGCAACATATGCAACATTCAAATGAAACACTTGAAAACATACGTCTGAAACACTTGAAACATGCCATCACCGACGACCACGATTTGTCGCGGCAGGAAACTCGGGTCGGTGGTGTCTTCGGCGGCAACCTTTTCCTAGTGGCGCGATGAACGCCATCGTTGCGACGGGCGAGGCGGAGTGGGGCGGGCAGACGGCCACGGGCGCGGTAAAGCCGCGACGAGGAAGACAGAGTGGAGAGATTTTTTTTAGAGATGGGGGAGATATTTTTCCAGAGAGATGGGGAGACGTAGATGTGAGCAGTTCATCCTGTTTGGCCGGTACCATGCAGGCTCGGCGTCCGGACGGACGGACATCCGCGTCTAAGCATTAGAGTTTGGAAATTCGAACACAACAGCTTTCTTGAACCCAATTGCCCTGTCAATTTCTGCAGTTTAAATGTTCCCCGTCAGCTTATATATATAAATCTCAGGGTCTTTTTTTTTTTTTGAAACATATGAATTCAGCATGAAACAGATCAATTCTAGGAAGAGGAACGCGCAAAATTACGACGCCTTCCAACTGGAGCCTTAGTTGTCTTGAGTCTAATGTCCATCCTATTGATCCACATTAGATTAGAACAAAGTCTTGCCTGCCGGTTTGGTTCTTCTTCGTCCATTTATCCATCAACAATTATATGCTATTGTACCGGCGAGCTACAATAGCCTGTAACTACGCTGGTTTCAGCAGCTACCTCATCGGCGAGGTGTCAGTCTGAGTCAGACTCAGACCTTGTACGTCATGCCCACCTCGATGAGGGAGGTGTTGGGGATGCCGAGCTCCACGGCGGGCCGCCGCGAGTTGCGCCGAAGGAACCCGTACACCACGTTGACGGCGAACTTCTTCACCGCCGGCGACGACTCGTGGGCCTGCACGCAGGTGTGCCCGATCATGTACGACACGCCGGACTCCCGCTCCTCCAGCAGCGTCTTCACCTCCTCGCCGCCACTGCCGCCGGCCCCGCGGGGCTCCTCGAACCGGACCCTCCTTCCGACGGCGTCGATCTCGCAGGACGAGGTGCTCCACGACGCCATCGGCGGCGCCGAGTCGGCGTCCACGAGCTGCGCGTGCGCCGGCGCCGCGGGGATCACCGACAGCTCCCTGGACCCGGAGGAGTAGTCGCCCGCCTCGGCGGCGTCCTGCCGCTGCAGGAACTCCACCACCTTCATCAGCAGCTGGTTCTCGAAGTTGAAGTGGTCCCGCCGCCCTTCCTTGTATCCGTAGCGGACGACGCAGCGGAACAGGCGGTGCGCCGGCGCGCCCACCCGCCCGACCAGGAACCGCTCGTCGGGCGACACCTTGGGCACCGTCAGCGTCTGGAGCGACACGAAGATGAGCACCCGGTGGAACGCCGGGAAGTTGGTGACGAAGTGCGCGAACATCGGGGGCACGCCGTTGGCGGCGCTGGAGTAGACGAAGCCCACCCCCGGCACGCGCACCAGCCCGATGCCGGAGCTCAGGCCGAGGAACCGGTCCAGGCACACCTTGTTCTGCAGCTCGTACTCCTCCTTCTTCTTCGTGCCGTAGTGCCACGTCGACATGGCCAGCAGCGTCACCAGCGACAGCAGCAGCGGGAGCCACCCGCCATGGGGCACCTTGGCGAGGCATGCCGACAGGTACATGAGCTCCATGGATCCGAAGCCGACCGTGAAGAGCGCTGCCAGGACGACGCTCCGGTTCCACACGATGGTGATGACCAGGAACATCAGGCATGTGGTTGCAAACATCACCAAGATCACAGCAAGCCCTGGAACATGGAATAAGAGATTAAAAATGTTACAGATTGTACAATTCTGCATTTCAAAAGATTCTAGGAAATTCGTACCATAGGCATTTCCAATCATTTCGGTGTCTCGGAAGCCGACGGTGACGGCCAGACACAAGAACATGAGAACCCAGTTCACCTCCGGTATGTAGATCTGGCCGTGGACATGGCTTGACGTGTGCACGATCTTTATCCGCGGGAAGCACCCCAAAGCCCTGGACTGGCTTATGATGGAAAACGTAGCTGAGATGATGGCTTGGCTCCCAACAACAGTGGCTAGTGTTGCGATGATCAGAACAGGCCAGAACACTCTGTCTGAAAAAAACAAGGAACAGAAAGAGATTGAGGAAAATTAGAAGGAAAAATTTGAGGTACTTTATTTCATTCAGCTACATAAAGAAACAGATTTGCTACATGTATATGACATTGACATCCGGGTGTTGGCTTGAACTACCCGCACCCATTTTTTTTTTTCTTCACTCAAATTTCACCCTACCTTCCAACTCATACGAGATTGGCCTATTTCTCTTCAATCTCCGCCATGTTTTTTTTTCTATGGGCATGATATGAAACAGATTCTCCAAGAAAATTTATGTTCATATACTTAGGGCTTGTTCGGTTGATTCGGAATAGGGCCCTGCAATAATTCCTAGGTGGAATGATTCAATAATTTGTACTAATCTTGTGGAGCTGGGATTATTCCTGGTGCAATCTTAGGAAACCAAACGGGTCCTTAATAGAGGACTAGGCATGACCTTTTGATGATACACATGTTAAGTAGGGATGAAAGATTCTCTCTCTAGGTCATTTGATCAACAAGAACTCATTCAAATTTCAAAAGGGAAAAGGATACAAGATGTAAGGTGGTGACACAAAGCAACCTATCGAGCACAAACTTTCATCCCTCAATATAAGGTTTATTTTGACTGTAGCATTGCATTGTGTATGCATGGTGGAGTTGAGTTATCTGTGGTTGACATTTGTTATTGATTATGGCAATGGCATCTTGAACATGCATTTTGTAAACCTATAGGGATAGGGTACTATGAAGACTTTTCTTGGTTAGACAAAAGTTTGCAATTTCTAATATACATATCTCTATCTAAACCATGACCTATGCCAAATGACAAATAGAGTATTTATGGAGAAAGAAGCACATTTTATTTGTATATGGAATCAGAAGAGGCTTTGGATAAGCCTAGTTGAAAAGTTACCAGTTTGAGTCCCAAAAGTGACTTCAATATGGTAAGGGTTAATTGAAGTATCATAAAGCATGGCATACATTTTGACTGCATATATGTAGAATGTAGATATTTTTTGTTTTATATTTCATCTCTTGGGATTTTATTAAAGATATATAACTTGAATTTTGAAGGTTAGATTAAATTGCTTACTAGGAGCAGAGCTAAGTCCAAACAACTAAACTTTCCTGATTAGTATTGAAAAATGAGAAACAACACATGGTTTCAAAATGTCACACGAGTTCGCATATGTTGATTATGCAATCTAAAAGTAATAGATTCTTTGTATCATTTCCCTTCATACTTTATAATTGTTTTCCTACCTTGAGTTTCTGACTATATTATAAGATATGCACTAATGTCCATAGAAAGTAGAGGGAAAATTGATTGACATGTTGTGTGATAAAAGTTATTTTTAAGGAAACAAGTGGAGATAGTACCAACTTGAATTTTCATTCAAAGTACTCGATGATATCACTTATTAGGTTTGTGTTTTCAGGCAGTCTTTCATAAGAAGCATGGTGAGAAGCATGCCTTCTTATATGTGCACTCGAGTACCAGATATTGCATGAGGTGTGTCAAGCTTGAGTGTCAAAAAAATGGCCATGTGCCCATAAGCAATGATGACTCATTGCAGAGGGGCCTAGTGATCATCCATGGGCTAATCAACTTCCACACATTCATAACATAAGGACCAAAGTTTCAAAGCTATAGGGAAAAGGTCAAGTTAAGGATGTTTGACCCACCAAATTTCTTCAATCTTCGATTTACCAAATTTCATACCATATCCAATCATGCATAACAAATATGGTGAGAAAGCATGCATTTTGCGATGTACAATGGGATACCAAATATTACACAAGGTTATGTGCAGGAACCTCATAATTGAGGATCCATATATGTCAATATAGAGGTGATTGCATTTAGCTCTAGGCGAGACATTTAGGCATAACCCTAAATGCGATTGAGTTGGTGCTGACTTAGGATGGTGACCAGGTGAAGCCAATCATCTTCATGACCTTAAACAAGAGATGATACCAAGAACTATGTAAATCTTAGTACGAGGCCTTGACTAGTGTTAGCCAATGGGTTGTCACAAGGCATAGTATTATTGGCATGACGCGAACATGGACCGCGACAATAGGCCATGCCTAGGCCGAAGCCTCAACATGGCTTGAAACAAGTGTCTCGACATGGCATGATTCGAGCCTAACACGATACGATTCAAGCCTAGCACGACACAATAGCACGGATGGCCCAATGGAACTGCTTGATGCCTCACCAATGACACAACTCCATGCCATGCTCTAGTCTTCTAGGCGTTGTGCCACGACTCGCACAAGCAAAGATACATGCACACAATAACACTTTGCTCTTCGGCTACTCCCATTCTTGTAAAAAACATGGCAATATACACACAATAACACTATGCTCTCTAGCTAGTCCCCCTTTCATGCACCCAATCATATCAAATTGTCACGCAAAAGCAAAAGAGCTTTGGCTCTAGAGTGCCTGCAAAGGCTAAGATCTGGCGATGCATGCAAAATTTCTACGACACAACATGAGCCTGAGTGCTTGAATTGGTAGCATGCTATGATGACCTTGACATGTTGAACAGACTTGGCATACTAGGCTTGGTGTGCAATGCCCACCATACCAAATGGGCCTCATACCGGCTTGGCACAATACAGAGTTTCGATTGGCCGTAGTCATGGCAAGTGGTTGGCCTGGCTCGGCACCACATACTAGCTATCCCTAGATGGGTTATATGCCTAGGCCATGCCGTGTTGGGTGACCCACTTGGATAGCATTGGCCTTGAACCATGGGTTCTTGCATGGCAGAGTGGTTGGAATTTGAACTAGAATAAGGTTGGCTTGCAACTCCCAACATCCAAGGTGGTAATAGCGCAATAGATTGACATTGGTGTTAATTTTGTAGGAAGGTGAGGGGATAGCTTGCGTCTCCAATGCCATCACCATTTGACCTTAACGATAACTAAGGGGAGGCAATGTTGAGATTTCTTAAAATTGATCATTGATCAAACAATCTTACAAATGTTCATCCTGGCATACCAGGGAGAAATTACATGGTAAGGATATAAGATAATAAAATGCCACCATCTACATCAACGTTCTTGATGGGTAATCATGGGATGGTGGGAATGCCATTGTTCTAAGTGAAATACAAGTTTGTTGTGAGTATTCCACATTCTCCAAGTGATGAAGACCATGAGGATATATAGTCAAACCCTAGAGGAAGATGATCAACAAAGGAAGCCTGCCACATAGGAGAAATACATGATCTGAATACGACGTTGGTAGGAAAAAAAGAGAAAGGGATTCTCTGAGGCTTCAAGAAACTGTGACCTTCTTGGATAGAATTAGTTGACTGACTTGATGATGGTTTGGTGCAAAAGGTTGGGCAAAGTTTCCAAGCGATCGTTCCAAAGTATCCATATGGGGAACTTGAACTTCAACAACACATGGGTGGAATTGAAGTAAGAGGCATTGGGATCTTGCATTCCAGTGTCCAACATTGGAACACATGTATTGTAATATTAGAACTCTTATAAGAGTTGAAGGGAATGTAGCAGTCATCGGTCAAATAGGCAAAAGCAACACTCTTAAGGAGACTATATGGGTGTCTAACTTCTGATGAGCGACATTGGTGAGCTAGGGACAAAGAGCAAGAGGGGGAGGGGCAACAACGACAATAGCAACATGAGTTAAGCAGGGTTGCATGAGATAAGAGGGAGGATCATCAAACCACAAAGGGCTACCGCCATGCTAATCACATCTACAATAAGAGGATAGCTTGAGGGTGGCTTTGGTGATGAAACAACTTTTCGATGATTGAACATATCTTGTTCTTGTCAGCATGGCGGTCCTTTCTCTAATAAATGTCGAGGAAGAAACTTTGTTAGTCTACTTTGAATCCCTCACAAGTCCACTACTATTGCATTTCAAATTTTTTGATTTTGTATGTATTACAATTATTATGCTAGCTTCAATCCTCAACTACATGTTTTTTAAATGAATTAGGCAGGAGAGCTGTCGATTATATTAAAAAAAAAAAAGCTCAAAATGGGCACAACGATACAACAGCGAGCAACAGCCAAAATGGAAAACAAACTCGACAAAAGGAAAAAATAAACAAAACTCAGGTCAGTCAGATTGGGACATCGACACGAAGCGCAAAAAGTCAAGCACAACAAAAAAAAAACCCACCACCAACTCACACCCATCAGCCGGTCACCACATTGCACTGCCAAAAACCTTGGACGACAAGGACGTCAGGGCGAAAGCGCCGTCGTCGCCGACAATGACCCACACCGAGCTAGCCTGCTGCCAAGCAGGGCTAGCCGCCGTCGATCGTTGCGAGCCGCGTAGCCCTCCCGCAATCTGATCCGCTTACGTCTCCCGTGAAGACGATGTACCACGCCGGACTAGCCACCGTCAAGCAAGGCTAGCCGTCGAAGTCTATTGCAAGCTGCCAAACCGACGCGTGAGTAGCTGCCTCTAGCGCTCACCAAGCCGATCCCCTCCACCGAGATCCAAACGTGCACACTGTAGTTTCTAGCAACCTAGCTGCCTCATCGATGTAGAAGTGCCACAAGGGTCCTCCAGCTGCCAGTCTGAAAAGCTCCTTGCGCCGAAACGGTCGCCGCTGAGCGGGACCACCCGCCGCCAAATCACGCAGGTCACCTCGGCAACGCAAATCCGCTGGCCTCCTCGCCATCTTCGTGGGCGCAACTACACTGAAAGCTCTAGCTTGGTTTTGGATAATTGATGAAACCTAGGACTAACCTTTGATCTAAGTGTGTGAATTAAATAAGGTGGTCCAATCCAAGTAATGAAGCTAGATGATGGTCATGGTGAAGGTGGTGGTCACAAATGAGATGATCAAGTGCTTCACATTTGGAAAAAAAGAAAGAGAAAAACAAAAATGGGCTCTAGGCAAATGTATATTGATAGGTGACATTTTTTATTTGCACTCAAGACACCATAGAGGGTGTGAGTGATTTAGGATCAATAGCCATACTATAAAGAGGAGAAATGTTTGGCTAAGCGGTTATCAAGTGCCACTAGGTGACATGATTCTTGCATATGCATTTAGGAACCTAGTGTGCTAATTTTGACCCTTGTAAAATGGTTTGAGAAATGCTAACACACGTGCACACAAGTTTTACACTTTGTGGTTAGCAACTTGGAAGCAAGGGTGAAGTGGTTGTGGACTTAGAAAAAGAAAAGGAGGTGAAAGTTCACGACCGGACGTTGGCCGCGGGGTGACCGGACTCACCCCGGTGCGTCTGGTCATTTAGAGCGTGTTGGCCGAGGGCGAGAAGAAGTGACCGAACGCAGCGACCTGACGCTGGCCGTGCGTCCGGTCATGCTAACCAGAGGAGGCGACGTTTGGCATGGTAATCGGACACATGTGCGTTTATGCGACCGGACGTGTAGGAGAAAAGCAATTTCGCTGACGTACGCTGACGTCGTGCACGCAGCGAGGAGGCCAGTGTGGACCGGACGCTCGGGCGTGTTAGGTCACCTATGACCTGACACGTCCAGTCAGTAAAAACCGTCTCTGGAACGTTTCTGAAATTGATCTGATGCTCTATGTTCATGAGTCCGGTTGATTCTGTTTGTGTGTCCGGTCACACTTTAACCTCGCGTGAGTACGTGGACTTGACCATTGGTGTTGAACGGGCGACATTCAAAGGCAGGACGCGTGGCAGGCATCGATGGACCGGACGCTGGGGTGCGTCCGGTTCGACGAGTCCGGTCACGCCTGCGAGTGCCAACGTCTCTTTGAGCTCTTGGGCTCTATTTAAAGGGGTTGGCCGGCTTGGGGCTCACCCTCTTGGCACTTTGACATACTTGACATCCTTGTGAGTCTAAGCAAACACCTTACACTCATCTCCATCATTGATTCATCATCATAGTGAGATTGGGAGTGATTACAAGTGCATTTGCTTGAGTGATTGCATCTAGTGGCACTTGAGGATCGTTGTGGCTATGGATTTCTTGTTACTCTTGGTGGTTGCCATCATCTAGATGGCTTAGAACAGCGGAGGAGCTTTGGCACGTGTTGGTGATTGTTCGTGACCGGCTCCGGTGAATGTGAGGGGTCTTGCACCTTCCCCGACGAAGCGCCATAAGGTAGCTCTAGTAAATTGCTCGTGTCATTGAGTTACCTCACTTGTGGGTAGGTTCTTGCGGTGTCCAATTATGTGGATGAGGTTCGTGCAACACCTCTTAGACCGTCGAATCACCAAGTGTTGGTCGACACAACGAGAGACTAGCGTGCGGACAAGCACGTGAACATCGGGAGAAAAATTGCTTGTCTCTTGCCCATTGGTATTCTCCCGGTGATTATATTGACATTCATATTGTGATTGGATTCATCCATCTACGAGGCGGTATAAGCTTTCCACTCACTCCTTTACTTATTTGCAAACTAGTTGTAACAAACTCTTTAGTGTAATTAGTTTTGAGAGCTTGTCTTGCTTGCTAGTTTAGTTCATCTAGTATAGCTATTTAGTGTAGCAAGTTTGAGAGCTCTTAATAAGTAGCAACTTAGCTTCTTATGTACCTAGTGATCATAGCAACTAGAATTATTGGATATGTGACTTGCAACTCTTGTAGAGCTAGAACAAATTTACATTTCGTCATTTGTTATACTAATCAAATTACTCTATTAATCTTGTAGTTTTTTAAATAGGCTATTCACTCCTCTAGTCATTTTAGACCTTTCATATGCGTGTGGTCCCATCAGACCACCGCCCTCCTCCACCGCTAAGTAGATGCTAGGCCCTCCAATCACCGCGCTAATCTCTCTCCTCCTAACCGCCTTCCTCCTCTATGGACACCGCAAACTTGAATCCTCAGGCCTCCATTCTCCTCGCCACAACACTTGTCGCCACCGCAGACTAAGAAAGCACGTGCTTACAAAGCACGCCGCCTGAGGTGGGATGTGACGCCGCCGCACCGGAGGATGAAGGTCAAGGTTTTCACCACGGAAGACACCTCCGAGAGGACGTGACCAAGCAAGAAAGCGGCGCCCAAATGCGGTAAGGTTTTCACCCACGGAAGACTCACCGCGCAAAGAGGAGAGGACCGTTCGATGGACGCTTCCAAGCAAGAAAGCGGCGCCGTCATCGGCCCAAGAGGGACAAGGCTTTCACCATGGCTTCTCAACCCCTTGCACGGCAATGGCCACAGTCCGTCTGCTGCGTCAGCCGCCGCCCCCATCAATGCCGTCCCGTGGAGTCGCCACACACGCACACGCCAGCAAGCCTCTGACCGCACACGCCTCCGTGGCCGGTTGTTGCCACCGCAACCGCACGCAGCCACCGTCACAGCCCTTCCTCGTTTGTGTAGGTTCGGCCTCGCACGCCGGAGGCCATCGCGCCGCGCTCCCAGCGCCTGCCGTCCACCCCTGGCTTGGCACCGCACGGATCCTCGCTGGAGCAGCCAGGGCGCGGTGCCCCCCTGCAGATCTTGGGCCGCTCCGGGCGCCCTGGCCTAGAGCCACCACCATTGGTCGACCTGGCCGGCCGCCGCCGCCGGCGGCGCTGGCAGGAGCCCCGCCTGTCGGACCTTGCCACGGGATGGCCAGATCCGGACGAGCAAAGCCAGATCCACCGCTGCTTCGCCGGAGAAGGCCACTGCCGCCCGTTGACTGCCGAGCTTCGCGCCTCCTCCCTAAAAACGGATCCAGGGAGGGTGAGATCCCCGCCGCCGCCGTCCTTGGGAGCCGCCCGGGCTTCCAGTGGCCGCCTCCGGCGGCGGCGAGGCGCTGGGACAGGTGAGGAGGGGCGGCGCCGGTGGCTGGAGGTGGTAGCCGCCCGTGTCGCTCGTACGGAGAGCGACGCGGGGGCAGGGAAGGGTGAGAGACCGATTTATAAATTTTCTGACTGCAAGTTGTCGTCACCACCAAATGGGGACTCTCTAACCAGGGGTATCTTACATTGGCAATGGCAACCCGCCGACAAAAGAATTGTTATCCACTTTCTACAATAGATGCCACGAACCCAACATTCAATTGGTTTGTGCATCTAAATGCTTTTAATGGTTGTCATTTTCGTAGAGTATAAGACTATAGTAGTTTGTTATGAATCATACAATCTATTTTTGTTTCCTATTAAAATCTACATATACTTTTATATTTTCTAAGGAAAGTATTGGTTGAGCCTTTTTGTCAGATTTTGGGCCATAATTGGATTCCACAACACTGGATAGGGCTTGCGAAGGCCCATCGAACTCCATCTAGCTGCAAACGGGATGACGTTTCCAAGAAGCTGGCGTGTCCTTGCCCGCAATCCCCACCTTGGCACCTTCAGCAGTAAGCATCTCAATTTCACTCTTCTCTAGTTTGTTCTATTAGTATGTTTTCTTATTTGCTTTTCACATGATCTAGTTTTCAAGATTTCAGGTGGAATTTTGATTCTGCTGTTTCATCTGATATGTGATTTTGGGGGGTCATTCCTTTTCACACATTTTTATTCTTTATGATGGACTGATTAGTATGCAGCCATCCAGCCAGCCACTTAATTCATTGTGAACTCAGTTTTCTTATCGTTAAATAAAAACATATTTCACTACCACCTATTTCTTTTTTACATTCACAATGTATGATTACCATCACATTCTTCTGCTGAACACTATCTTTGATGTAAAGAACAAACTACACAAATATATCGTATCTGAATGTTAACTGAAAAATATTAAAGTAATGGTGATGCTACATGTTTATGGAAAGGAGTGATACGAAATGACTGTAGAAAACTTAAACTTCAGTCAATCTGGCAAAACATTGTCACCTCACCTGGGAGAGCTTTGTAAAAGCTGCTTTGTAGGTCCTCCCTATGTTTAGATAGATAGGCAGCCTCACCCATGTAAGCCAGGACTAAGCATGGATACACAACTATTGTGAATCCAAGCTGCCATTACAAAGCAACAAATAAGATTCAGTAAAGTTTGTTGACACAGTTAATGACTGAAAATTGGCACATCCAGCAAGTAAAGCAAAACTATCATTTATTATAAAAATAAGATATTTACCCTTAGTGAAAGTTTTGAGAAATGCCCAAGATCAGCAAACATTGCTTCAGCACCTGAAATTATAGAAGCCTTAGAAATGCCCAAGTACAGGGTACACAGCTTTAATTGAAGCTTAAGTCAACACAGAATTAGACAGAAGAAGATGTGAACCTGTAATGCATAGAACAATCCCTCCCAGTGAGCTCCAGCCATCCTTGCCGGCCTTCCTGAAGAAGTTGTATATGTAGTATGGGGACAGAGCACGGATGACAGTAGGGTTCCACTTGAATATGTTGTATATGCCGATACTGCCAATGCAGCCAAGCCAGGCAAGCAAAATTGGAGCAAATAGGAACCCAACACGGTGGGTTCCGTAGTGTTGCAGTGCAAAAAGGATAACTAAAATGAAACAGGCAAAAAGCACAGTGTAATCTGTACACAAGCGCACACACACACAAAAAAAAATCAATCATTTGTAGTTAGTAGTGCAATGCCAAAGGTTAACAAGTAACCTGAAAAATATTAACTAGCATCTGCTCCTAACAGCAGTAATCAGTATGAGCAATATGTATAAACAGCCTCTTACTTTCATGTAATTCTGGAAACTTAATTCTGAGTCCAGAAACTGCCGAAAGAACTGCACAAAAGGGGCACCATCTGTGTCAGTTGCAGTAAGATTTCGCGGGCTTAGGTTACTAAACTTTTCCAAAAAAAAAAGAGTAACAGTCTGACTGTTAGATAAATTACGCAAGGAAATTATGTGGAGTACACTACACTGAAGAGATATTCATGATTTGAACTAAGCAGAGCATTTATTCTTTTTTTCCCTAGAATGCACAGGAAAGCTGCAGGACACCATCTATGTATTAAGAAGGAGAAATAAAGTTTTACAATGCGAGTTCAGTTAAGGTGTCGCAGGCATCGGCCTTAAGAAGTAAGAACATTACATTAAAATGATAGTTCCAGGCAAATTAAACCATTTCAATGAACACGAGAACCTAAGGTTCTTTACCTGACATTGTTGGGGTGAAGACGCCATCCCCAATAACCATACTAGTACCCATCAGAACGAAGAGCAGCAGCACGACACGAAGCGAGTAATGCTTCTCGATGAAAGATTTTATCGCCACACTACTCTTTTTAGCTCCTCACGGGGTTCCTTCTGGTTGTATGCCGATAAACACGCATTGTTTATATTGTTCAGGAGCCCCATCCTTGAGCGCCTGCACATTAACGAGTACAATGCAAATGTGCCACCTGCATACACAGCACAGCACATTGCCAGTAAACTCAGACAGTTTGTCGATCAGCATCCCTGGACCCACTTTTCTCATATGGAAATAAAACAGTGTCAAAACGATGGTTCAACCAAGAATGAGCTGAAAGAACTGGACACAAACAAAAGCATGTACCTTCTCCATCGTCATCTGCTCCGAGAACAAGGATGATGTATTTGAGCAGTGGTATGAGCGTCAGGCTCCAGAAGACGAGAGACAGCACCCCAAGGATCTCCTCGTCCTCCTCATGGAGACGCAGCTTCCCAGAGAAGGTGTTCTTGTACACATAGACAGGTGAGATGCAGAGATCGCCATACACAACTCCGAAGCTCTGGTATGCCAGTAAAAGCGTGGCTTTCTGAAGTCCCTGCACCAACCAACACGAACGGTGTAGTAAGTTTGCAGTGTTGTTTTTATTTTTCACTACTATCTATAACCATTTATCTAGTAACACACTGTAGATGCAATTTTGAGGGGAAAAAAAAAGAATAACCAACTACATGTAGATAGTGTAGGTAGTAAGCCAAAAGGCATTGAAAGCAACACAGAAGAGTCTGAAGTAAGGCCCCGTTTAGATGTCTCCAAAACCCAAAATTTTTGTACAAAGACCCATCACATCGAATCTTATGGCACGTCGTGGAGTACTAAATGTGATTTAAAAAAAAAACTTCGAGAAATCGTGAGAGAAAAGCTTAAATAGTCCATAATTAGACAATTTTTGTCAAATACAAACGAAAGTGCTCCAGTAGGCAAAAGCTAAAAATTTTCAAAACTAAACACGCCCTAAGTTCAAAAAAATGACAAAGATGGTTCAGATAGGTCAAACAAACCGGAGTAAAAGTAGTGAAGTGACAACAAACCAATATATGGGCGCCATAAGCTACTACGTACATACTTCCAAGAAATATAGGACTGCAAAAACGGGTGATCGAAAGAATTATACAGGATCGTTGGCATTTACCGTTTCATCCATGGAGTCCAGCTCATGGGCTGTGGACATCAGTCAGGGATAAACATGGCTCAAAACGACAGTACTTTTACAGCAAAGCCAACACGAAATTCATGGCAAACGTATATAACACCAAAAGGAGGCTAACTGACACCTGAATTTCAGCACGAGAATAGATGCAGTTCGTAAACCTTAGCCTGCACGGATTCTTTTTTTTTTTTGGCGGAAAAGCATGGATTCAATGTTGGACGAGGAACTAGCAGTCTAGCACAACACATCTGCTACTTGAACTCAAGAATGATCCAACCAGTTGTGCCCAGGAATCACACGGCAGCAGAAGTTTTGCAAAGACCAGAGCATCTCCGAGAGACTTTCTAAAATCTACTCTCTAAATCATTATTTGAAGATTCATTTGACTAAAAATCGTTTTTTATATCTTTGTATCCTCCAACACTTTTCTATATCTTGTGCGCAGTCTAGAGAGTCATCTCCGCTCTCTATCTTTGGCTAACGAGAAATCCGGAATAGAGGATATCTATATTTGGATATCCAATTAAAGAGGCTATTAGAAGGTAGTTTTAACCAAAATCTCTATTTTTGTGGATTAGAGAAGATATGAAGAGTCTCTTGGAGATGCTTGTTCGCAGTTCACTCCTTGCTAGATGAACCAGAAAAACACCAAAGAAACCAAACACCTTGAAGGAACTCACCAAGAACCGTCAGTTGCATTGCAGAACCTTACCAGCCCCTAATTACGACGGAGACCAAACGCACTGCTCCTTACTTGAGACACCATCGAACAGAGAGAGAGGTTCTCCGAATCGAAACTATGAAATCGCATGAAACTGAGCTTACGTACCCAAGGTGAGCTCGCAGCCCGCTTCGTCGTGGACTGCAGCTGCACCGCCGGCCGGCCACCACCCTCCACGTCCATCTCTCCGATAACCCGACGGATGAACGACGACGCCGGATCGATCAATGGGCCCTCAACTTCGGCGGCGTGGGCTGCTGGGCGTTTATTTGGTTGCGTTGCCTGCAACCACGCACTGCGCGATGGAATTTGGGGAGGCCGGGAGGGACTGAGAGATAAGTGAGGAAGGAGCGAAGCAGTTAAGGGGGAGGGAAAACGTGGTGACTCCACGAAAAGAAGAGGGGACGCATGCTGCATGCACAAGCCTGTGTGTATTGTGCAGGGGGGCCCACCATGGCCAACCAACCATGGTTATTTTTTGTTTGCTGAAAAATTGGAAACTGCTCTTTCTTTTTGTATCCCGTTAAATTTTGAGCAACAAGGATATAATGTCTTATCTTTCATTGTGGCAACTGAGTTGATTTGCTGATTTGTGCTTTTAATAATATATTTTACTTAAACCCATTTTTTTATTATAGGAGATATCAAATATGTCATACACGGTCACTTTCGACCTAGTCGCTTTTGTCAATGGGTTACAAAGTTACACTACCGTGATATAGTCACAAACGACACTAGAAAAACAACATGCAAGGTATGCAGAAGTACTTCATCAATATCACACCCACCACATTCGCACTTGAGGTAGGTAGATTTTTTCCACCAACATTTCTTCAAGTGCAAGATCTCCTATATATGAGTATTTTTATGTGCTATCGTACAATGATTGAATATATGGAGCAGAGCTACGTGCTTCCGTTTGGTCAACTGGTTTGTTTTTCATTAGACTTTTGGTTAATCCAGTACAGTCCCTCTTTAACACAAGCAAATTCTTCTTCTAAGTTGCATCTATTGCATGATGATTGACCCAAAACACTGCCAACGGATCATTTAGAGGAGTGTGTATATGTGTCAAAAGTTTTTTTCCCATATGTGAAAACATATCTTTCTAGAACCTTTCGGTAAAGCCATATGACATTTTCACTTTTTTTAACAGTAGCTAAGATACACATAGCCTATATATGATCGGTAATTCTGGGAAGCGGGCGTTCGTCTGCCCCGGATGCTCCGTTGATGGGCCACAACGCTGGCCCAACTACCCCTTCCTATCTACTCGGAAGTTAAAAAAAAAGAATCGGTTCCCCATCGCAGTCGCACCCCGCGCGTAGCTCGCAACGCCGCGCTGTCGCCTGCAACCCCACCGGCCGCGTGTGTTCACCGGAGGAAGCGGCCCAGGGCGAGGAGTGGAGAAGATGGCGCCCACATCAAGTTCAAGGAAGCGTCTCGGAAGAAGGGCAGTCGGCGGTCCTCAGCTCTCACCCTGAGTTCAAGGAGCCGGCGGTCCTCGGTGGTCCAACGGCCCGGGGCGTGGTGGAGCAAGCGTGGCGGCGCGACAGGTGGGCGGGGAGGGTGGCGCGATGCTAGGTCGGAGCAGCGAGGAGGCGGCGCGGGGGTGCGCGCGGCTGCGACGAGCCTCCATTCTCCCAAGCAGAAGGAGATGTTGCGTTAAAAGCGCATGTTGCAAGCGTATGTTTCAAGTGTTTCATATGTTTAAGAGGTATGTTACAAGTGTTTCATACGGATGTTGCAAAAGTGGATCGGGATGTTGCATATGGTGCAATGGTTGTACACGTGTGTTGCAAGTTTCTGTTCCTAATGTTTTATCTATTTTTTCAAGCGTATGTTACAAGTATTTTTATTTTGATGTTCCATATGTTTCACACATATGTTATAAGTGTTTTATCTAAATGTTGCATATGTTTTACAATGTTTTTCAAGTGTTTTTCATGTGTTTTTGCAAGTGTTTTAGATGCATGTTTGAAGTGTTTCATCTGCCTTCAGACGTATGTTGCAAATGTTGCATCTAGATGTTTTAAAAGTAGTTCGGATGTTGCATCTCTATCCTCGCTTTCCGCTGCCGTGCCCCTGTGTCTCCTCCTTCTCTTGTCACCTCCGGCTGGCATCCACCCCCTCCCCCACTTCTCAATGCTAGCAACGTTTGGGGGTGGAGCGGGCCCCACGTGGGCGCGCGAAACAGCATGGGAAAAGGCTATAGGCACGGGCGTCCGGGCGCTAACAAGTCCGATATATGATTGTTGAAAAAGTAAAAATAACATGATACCAGATATATCATGCCATATCTATCACACAACAAAGTCTAGCAAATGACAAAATAAAAGAATTATAGCTTTCCCGAATAACAAATTAAAGGTATACCTGATTTTGTCATCTTATCTTGAATCGTCCCATATCAAACCATACTTATTTAAGGGAAACATTTGAAAAAAAAAATAGAATGGCTCTTATGAATGGACCGTATAAGAAAGCTACAGAAGAGGAAAAAAGCAAAACTTGTTGATAAAAGAGGAACTACATTGAACTCCGCAAGTTAGAGAATCTATGACCATACCCGGAATTGGATGATGCTGAAATTGTGATGGGAAGTTTGGGCTTGCGTGGACACATTTAATTTGGCCACTGCACTGACCTGGATTAATCTATTTCCTTTTTATTTTGGCCATTTAAAGTAGATACTCCCTCTGTCCCGTAGTACAGTGCATTCTAGGAATTTTAAGACAAATTAAGAGAACATAAAAGACACATATACCCTTATTTTATTTCCTAATCAGATGCTATCATCAATGTGATTAATGGTGATTGGTTCATAAATGAAAAGTATTTAATGTAAAATTAGTTTTTGTCCTCTAGAGTGCATTATATTTGAGAAAGAACAAATTTTGAATGTTAGAATGCACTATATTACAGGACAGAGGGAGTACATTGTTGTGGAACATGGAACAAGTGCGCATTAACAGGCCCTCAAAATCATTTTGCAAGTATTTTGATTAAGCTGGAACGTTTCCTTTTGCTCTCAAGTATGCATATGATTTATATACACGGTCTACACTTGCACTACTAAAAAGCATATTCATTTTTTTTACTTTTCATTTATCTTATCTTTTGAAAAAAGTGCTTTTCATTCATTCTATTAGTATAGATGCATGCCATTCGCTATACATGAGTCGAGAGGATCCGGTGACCCTAAGCCAGGTTAGTGGTTAGGGTTTCGGGATTGGGGTCAGGGATTTATGTGTTTTCCAGTTGTGAAGGAAAGCTTGGGGAGGCCAGCGGACTGATTGTGGTGACGGTCGAGAAGGCGGTGGGGGCGGGTAGCATCCCCGCCGCCCACGTGGCGGTGAGAAAGGCCGATTCAATGGTTCTGGCGGCACGCAAGTCCACCTTATTTCTTCTCACACGAACCAGTCCTCCTGCCTTCCTCCACCTATCTCCATCTTCCTCGTTTCTCACTCTCTCCTTCAAATCCATGGCTACCAAGGAACCAAGGTCTCACTACTACAAAAATGATTTTACGAGACACTGCCCAAGCATTAACGAAGACGGTCACAAAATGCAACCGTCTTCTAAAATACATGAGAATTATTGGAGGCGGTTATTTTATTTACAGTGGCGGTCACCATTATCCGTCTCGTAAAATAGATTTATGTAGGCTTATGTTTTATTTACGCACGCAGTCAGATTTTGCACGTCTCCTAATATTTATTTACAGAAAATGGAGGCGCACATTTTCGGAGGAGGAACTCTAAAGAGGTCTGCCGATGTTAATGGGTGTGAAACCCAACCGGCCTTTCTTTGAGCCCAGAATCCCTCGACTATATAAACACCCAGCTAGGGTTTTCACTCATTCTCATCTCTCACTAGCCGCCGCACCTCCAGCTCTCTCTCATCTCCTACCCGTATCTCTCCCTCTCACAAGAAGATACGAGCATGGGGGCTCTCTCTCATCTCCCACCCCGGCTGCGCACGTAATCACGGGTGCTCCCACCCCACGGCGGCACGCACACGGGAGGTCTCCACTCCGGCGGAGACACGCACACATGACTATCTACTTCTGCAACAGCGAGCACACAAGGCTCCCCCATCCGACGCGACGCGGATCCGGCCATCAACAACGGCGAGGGTGCAGATCCGGCAACCACTGATATGGATCCGGCCACCAATGGCGGCGGGGGCGCCGATCCGTCCACCACCACCAACAAGTCGAGCAGACTTGGCGACTTTAAGCCTCCTCCTCCTCCGGTTCGAGCAAATCTGGTGATTGTGATCCAGGTTAGTGGTTACGGTTTTAGGGTTGGGGGTTCGGGACTTATGTGTTCTCCGACTATAAATGAAAGTTTGGGGAGGCTGATGGATTAGCAGTGGCGGCGGTCAAGATTGCGGTGGGGGCACCGTGGTGGGGACGCTGCCCACTGGGCGGTGGGAGAGGCCAAATCGATGGTGCCGGCGGCGGGTGAGCTCACTTTATCTCTTCTCATGCAAACTGGTCCTCTCATCTTCCTCCACCTTTCTCCATCTCACTCATCTTTCTGTCTCCCCCTTAAATCCATGGCTACCGAGGACCTGATGTCTCCTCCTCTCATGACTCGAGTAGGCCTAGCAACCCCAAGCCTCTTCCGATGAGTCGAGCGGATTTGATGACCCTGAGCTAGGGTTGTGGTTAGGGTTTAGGGGTTGGGGATTTATGTGTTCTCTGTCTGTAAAGGAAAGTTTGGGGAGGTCGAAAAACTGATGGTGGTGGTGGTGGTTGAGATGGTGGTTGGGGTGGGGCGGCGGGGACGGCGTCCACCGGGTGGCTGGAAAAATAGTTGGATGGTGCCAATGACGGGAGTGTTCACGTTAGTGGGAGGAGATGGATGTTGTGATTCGGGTTGGCGATAGAGGCATCATTTCGCCGCTTGAGCCAAGCGGGAGGAGGTGGATGCTGGAACATTCGACAAAGAAGATGCGTGCCAGCCGCATGCTATAATAGCACGGTCGTGCTTATGTTAGTTGTGTCCTATTCTTATTGCTGGTTTGAAGTATTCTAAGGCAGAATATGATATAGTTTAGCATGCTTTAATGAAGTGGAAAGCTTTTGATATTCCACTCCTTTGATTTTTTTGTATCTAGTTAAATCTTTGAGCAACAAGGATATAATGTTGTTGTACTATCAGTGTTGCAACCGA